CTGTTTGTGCAAAAAACCGGAATATTTTCAAATATGTAGCCCATGGTCATAATTTTCTAACGCTGTGTTGTAAATTTTGTGAGTTGAAGTGGTTAGTCAGCGGCAGAATAGCTAATAATTTTTGGATAGGTCCGTACCGAGAGTTTCCTACTATATGAAACCGATCTTTAGAAAATCGTCGTAACTTGCTACTCACAGAGAAGGAGATTGGTAACTATTATTAGAATNTGAATACTGCTAGTCACACCGCCGTGGTTTTCCACTGACTGAAGTCAATACAACAGTGAAGTAAATTCTGTTTGAACAGAAACAGAGTCAACGTTCCTAATCGGTGACCTATTCTATTGTAAATAGCCAATACTAATTTTACGGTAGCAAGATTGCATTAGCCCATTCGATTGTTAAGAGGCACTCTTGAGAGATCGTTGATTCCCCACAATTCAATGCGTTTATATGAGATGGAAATGTTTGTGATAACTGACATAGAGCACTGGACAGCTGTTTTGTCCTGTTTGGGACTCGTCTGCAGTGCATACTTTTAGTGTCCCTGTCAGGACTCGAACCGCGAACTTTCGGCTTGGAACTTCAAACCCTTACCCCTGAGCTGAACGATCGATGGTCATCACCTTGTGCGAATGGCTGAATCAATTTTACGGTTAGCACATGCATGAAATCGTCTGGAATCAACGCTCCCCCAAGGAGTGAAACCCACACCCAAGAGTGCCTGGTGCCTCTCAACAATCGACTGGGCTAATCCAAGCTTACTACCGTAAAATTGATTGAGCCATTCGCACAAGGTGATGACCATCGACCGTGTAGCTCAGAGGTAAAGGTTTGGAGTTCCAAGCCGAAAGTTCGCGGTTCGAGTCCTGACAGGGACGCAAAAAGTACGCACTGCTGACGAGTCCCAAACAGGACGAAACAGCCGTCTAGTGCTCTTTGTCGGTTATCACAAACATTTCCACCTAGAGTTATCAGTGAATAATAAATAGATGTCTCGTACCTCCTATGTTGTTCACTGAGTATAAACATGTGCACTCAACTCTGAGGAGGGGGGCTGCGGTCATAAAAAGTCTGTCTGAAGAAAATGCCAAAAAGAGGAAGAAGAGCAGTGGTTGTGCGGTTCTTTCTTAAGGCCTTAGGGGGCTGTTCAGAGTTACTAAGTAACTTGATCATCGAAAAATAGAAAAGCACACTGCTGATGTTTGTAGCAATTAAACGTAGATTACAGACAAACGTTTTCTTCATCCCAAATCAAATCTCACGCACTGTTCGATCGATTGGGTTTCGGATGAAACACAGATTGGGTAGCCATTCCTTATAGATCTGCATGAAGCACGAAGGAATGATTCGTGGATAAGCGGCCTGACCAGAAATGGTCAATAAACCTGAATTTTAGGAATAAATCTGCTCGTATGTACATCTTTAAATTTGCTTTCACCCCTCTCGCTATTACTGTTATCTTTAGACAAGAAACACTGAGTGCATTTGAGGAGAAACATTTTAGGCCGAATGAGCCCTTTATTCGATTGTATGGACATGACGGCGCACTTGAAAATTTATTCCAAAAATAAATGAAGTCTTGCGTTCAATGGTATTTCGTTGGAAATTTTGAAAAGAAAATGTCTAACTGTCCGGAATCAGCAATGACAAGAGAATAGAGAAATAGTTGTTCTTTACAAGCATATGTGAATTCACTTCCAGACAGTTGGGTATTTAGAAAATATATGACGAGCGAAAAGCAGGATTTCAAGCGTGCTGCACACCCCTTTAGTTTTGTTCTTCATTTTCGCTTCTCATCATTGATAGAAAGAGAAGTAGACCATGGTTCAAAACAGAAAATAAATGTTAATAGAATTTACCCACCGCAGTCGTTTGGCAAAAATGATAAATGTTCCAACTTGCTCTGACAGATTCTATCTAACTGGGAGAATGCACTGAGCTTTTGATCGACAAAAAGTGTAACCGAGATGGAACGGTGTACAAACAAAACGTTCACATTTTGCAGAAAAGTCGAATAATAAATGAGCGAGCAAACGACTGATTGCGCATAGACAAGAAAAAATCAACTGACATAACATCGGGCGTTGGAAACAAGTCAGTTTTCTTAGGACAAACGAAAATGCTTTTTGGAAAATGAGCGTTATATTTTTGGTTCTGGAATTCTTGGAAAGAGCATCACCGGTGATTTCGTACAGAAAAGTTAACTAATCACAACAGTGAAGATTTTTCAAACCTAATATTTGGGAGCACTTTAATTTTGGTGAAATATTTTGACAACGTGATTTTATTTGGTCTAAAACAGACTGAATTTCATCAATTAAAAAGGTGCATGAAAAAAAGAAAACTGATTGATGTGTTAAACTTATAGCCTGTAGGGCAGACATGTATACAACTTGTAAAGCAGCCAAAAAGTACAGTTTTTCAAAACAGGTCGATATAACTTTAGTCTATTAACCAATGGATTTTATTCGTCTGCAGTTTTGACATATTTAACTGCACAATTATGCATCGATTTAAAAGATCTAACTGTTTGGTTAGACTACAATCTAACAAATAGAGAATTAAATTCAACTAATTGTTTATCAGACGGTAATCCAGCGCATATATTTTGCCCATCCTTTGCAAATCGAACTTTCTTTTTAAGGCGTGAATAGGTCACAGCCGGTTTACACAGATGAGACGCACCTGATGCAGATGTAGCGGTTTTGCGTCTTTAGGCAGTCTGTCTCTCCATTACTCTCACACATCCACATCCACACACACACACACATGGACTCGAACTCTGGAACTAGCCACTAGTTTGCACATTTCAGCGCCATCAGCGGCACCACTTCTTCGTTTGGAGGGAGACTACTACATTGTGCTCTCAAACGAAACTTGACGGCGTTTTAGTCAATCAGAAATCGGGAACAAATACGTGTAATTATGGGCTTATAAGTGAACACAAAACCACAGACAAAACTCACAGAACGCAAAACGACGTAAACTACACACGGATCAAAATTCAGATTGGAGTCACCGATTCGTCAATCTGGGTTGGGCATGTTGTGGCATAGCGTGGATGGGGTAGGGGAACGGGTAATGTAGCCCATTTTGTTGAATGGAAACAGTGCCACATACAGGGCAGCTTTCACAGCAGTGCCGAATTATAGACAGTTCATCAGTTGTGTAACGGTTTGTTTTGACTGCAAGAGAAGAAAACTGTTGGCACAATGGGGCATTGTTTGATTCTGTGGTCAGTAAGATTAAGTAGTTTTGATACAAACGAGCACACGCGCACGTGCGCACGCATGCACTCCCACACAGACACATTTAAGCCTGTGATCTTCGAGTCACTGGGTTACGACGAAATAGCTGCCTCAATTCGCCGCGAAATTTCAAGTTCAAAAAGAAATAAATCAAGGGATTGGTCACGGTGTTAATGAAATAAAGAAAAAACAGTAATCTTCTAAAGTGATGCTTGATTTCCGTGCGTGTAAGCACATTCACTTGTGACGTCCTTAAGACAGATGAGCATGACACTGCCCCGACGCTTCCCGACACATTGGAGTGGGTGCAGTTATTGAGTATGACTGAATCGGTCGTACCGACGGAAGTTGAATACAGTGTTGGGATTTCCTCATAATAGGAGAACATACCTGTTTCCATGCCATTTAGGGTTTCCCATTCTACTTGCCATATCAAACCGTTCGAGATTAGTAGACTGGGCAAATAAGACACAAGAAATGTGACGGTGATCAGGATGAACATGATTGCAGTACGTAAATGTCGATTGGCGAATTTCATTTGGCGATTTTTGTTCTGTCGATTGCGCACACTGTCCCGTAATTTGTGTTTCCTTTCCGTCCAACATGCTTTATGAGTGCTTGTCTTGTTTGCCATGTGTGTTGATGATAGATTCTCGTGGAGGGCTTGTGGACCGAGCTCACGTGATGCAATAAATTGACCTTCCTTGGGTTGGTTAATTTCACTGTCTGGGTCGATGCTTTTACCGTTTTCCGGCGAAAGTGTCTCACACTGGTCTTTATGGGAAGCACATCTAGACGGTCTTTGCGAATTCGGGTAGGGGATCTGTAACAGTTCTTGAAGAGGAATATTGCGTTCACGACACGTACATACATTGGGTTTCAGCGAAAATGAGTTATTTAGCTGATCGTTGTCGGGACAACGTGGGGTCGTTTGAAACGTGTGACAAGTGCCTGATTCATATTCCTGAATGCTCGAAAGGCGCAAGTTACTTCGTGTAACTTCTCGAGTGTCTTGTTTTTGCCGTCCAGTAAATTTGGATCTCCAACGGCGCTGATGCCACCAAACAAACGAAAATATGGATCCGTAGATAAAACAAATCAGAGTGAAAACGACAGTGAAAAATATCAAAACTGCCATTTGATAATCACGATAGCTTGCGCGAAAAATAAAGCGATCGTCGACTTGACAGGTACCGAAATTCATCAGTGCTTTCAGTAGACTGCCATCTTCATGCAGACTGGCAACATATCTGGGTGGAACGTGATCAATCCTGGTCCGATTGGCTCCGTCGATCACTGTTGTTGGAACTGGTTCTGAGAGGTTTTGGTTTCCACTCGGTGTCAGTCTGATCAACTGGTCCACAGCGCTTAGCTCAAACCGCGAAGGGACTCCATGGCGCAATCCCATGGGAATTGCCCAACCCAATCCAAATATGTAGCAGAGAGTGACAAAGAAGAACAAAGTAGGACGTGGAATTCGCACGCTGGGCACAAAACACACAATAAGCCAACGATCAACAGCAATCAATAGGAGCAGTAAGATGGATACTGAAAGCATAAGCGCTTTTAACAAGACATGCAGACGACACACAAGATCTAGTGTACGTTGTTCCCAAATTATAAAGAAAATAGTGGCCGGAATGTCCAAAGTGCAAATAATAAAATCGTTGAACGCCAAGAGAAAGATCAAGGAG